GTAGAAAGGGAGCTGTTATTTCAGGCCGTGATTAACAGGCCCAGTGTGGAGCCGTTATTTCAACAGAAAAAGAGCCGTCATATCGGCCCAATCCCTATGAACTAGCATTACCTGGCAAACGGGCGGTCGGGCTGGGTTAAGGTCAAGTTACAACGAGCGGCAGGACAAAACATGTTGGGTTAAAATAGGTTATAAGTTAATGAAGGTTGATCTTAATCTGTTCATCATAAGTTACAAGTTAACCCGTAAATTAATCTAATTAAATTTTTTTTTATAATTTGTACTTATTCTTATTCAAAGAAAATTATTCAAAAAATTTAAAAATAAAATTCAACATCTTATAAAAAGATTTTTTTCATTAATTTAATAAAATATATTTATAGTTTTTCAGAATCACCTTTTCTACTTCCCTTCAAAAAACAATGTTCATCAAATTCAAAAACACACCTATAAATCTCAATAGCAAAACAAAAAAAAAATAATAGTAGCATGACAACCAAAAAACACAAACCCTATTGAAACATATTTGTTCTGGTCATTACTTTCAAAGAATCAATGAATTGAATGCATTTAAGTAAGCAAAGGAGAAGATCAAGTAGAATTTTTACTTGGAAGTTGGAACGGAAAGAAAACTAAAAGGTATAAATAAGTAAACAACTTACCTTAAAGCCTTTAGAGAGAGAAGTTGATGACAATGATAGCACTTGTTGGAGTCAAAGGAGAAAGAAAGAAATGGTTGAGTTGATGTGACAATGATTCAATGAGACTAAGATTTGAATCTAAAATGATGTTAAAAATTTAGAAAAAAAAAAATGTGGAGTCGAAACTTGAAAGTCGAAAGTTATATGGATTATGGAGGTTGAAGAATATGAGAATAATTTGCACTTTGAAGAGTTAGAGGCTTGGAGAGTATTAGGGTGAGTAAAAATAAAAAAGGTTGGGAAATGAGTCACGAGTGGAGTGGGATTATTTTTGCTTCTAAGAGATGATGAGTTAAGAGAATCAATTAGCTAATTAAGGAAAATTAGTCAATTATGAGAGGTTTAGATGGAATTGAAATTCATTATTTGTACAAATTACTATTACTACATGTGTAACTTGTTTGATTTATAGACTTTACTTTATTTTTTATTTTTATATTTCATT